TATATAAAAGAAAGTGTAAAAAAAAAAAAAAAAAAATTTATATATATATATATATATATATATATATATATATATATATATATATATATATATATATATATATATATATATATATATATATAGCCAACATTTGAGGTGTTTAAGACTTGTAAGTCAAAATCGAATTTGGAAAATTTTCTATGTTCTCTTAAGTGTTGCCTTCTCGTATGGGATTCTTTTTCTTTTCTCATTTGTTTCTCTTTTAGGATCAACTTTTCTTCTAAAATAGCATACAAGCATCTATACAATTATACGCTCTATACCTACGTTTGTTTTTATTATTTTTGAATATTTAAGTTTATCGATAAATGTATTTATCTTAGATTTGAGGATTCAAAGTATCAGCATCTCAGCATCATATGACCAACACCTCAAAATCGTATGATCGACATGCAATCAACGCTTTAGTATGTCGACATCTCAGTGATATGATTTCTCCGTTTGAATATTGTAACGTTACTCATGATCACATGATATTCTTCGAATTTAGTATAACATGATTCTACTTAATCCCAAAGGAGACATGAAATCGTTCCCACCACATGTTCTTGATGTAATTGTTTAATTCTCAAAATGTCTTCTCGAGTGAATTATATTTTTTATATTCGAGTTTTGTATATTTTGATATAATTCTTTTTTGTTGGATCTCTTACTATTCTCGCTCATCTCCACCAAGATTAGCTTCACAAATATATAATTTTCTATGGTTGAGAGTTCAAATGGTCAAATTTTCATTCGATTTCGGTCAGTAGAAATATTGACTATGGATGATAAGGATTGAACCATACCATCCTATTGATCCTATTGATGGATAGCTTGAGTTCATATGGAGATACTTATTTTCCTTGTGGAGGACAAGCAAGAAGAAGTGTCCAACACGCCACTAACTCAAGTCACGTTTTGCACGAGCATTTGGCCGTCCACTCCGTCAAAGTCCACATGTCGTTTCTTGTAATTTTCCGATGCAAGAAAACAAAAGGAATGCATCGAAATGGTGGAATGAGTCGTATGCATCGCATGAGAGCTGTGAAGTTGTTCTTTTATTCCATCGATCGGAGAGACTATATTATCGTTGGACCAATTGTGCCAAGAGTCTCTCGACCAATTGTGTCAAGACTAATGCTTTCGTTAACAGAGTCGACGAGCGAGGAGAAACATAATTAAATATTTTATTTTTATAAATATAGAGATATCAATATAATTTTTGAAAGTATATGGATCAGAATGTTAAGATAACTAATTATACAAGTAATATGTAATTAACTCACTTCCACACAATCGTATTTTCTCTCTCTCTAATTAGAGAAAAGTAACCGTCAAACTTTGGAAGTCATTTTGATAGAGCTTAGAACAATCATATTTGTTGTTATGTTTCTAATAACTTGCTAGAAGCTACCTAATATTAAATGGTCAAACTTCGATCTATCTAGTTGATATAAGAAAATAATCACAACGTAATAAGAAGTCACAATCCAAGCTAGCTCGATCGATGCGACCTGATTCGGTTCGACTCGGCTTGATAAGCTTTTGAAAGGGAACCATGACTCATAGCTTGATAAGCTCTTTAGAGGGGCACTATCAAGACCACTCGATAAGATTCTTCGATATTTTCTTAAGATTATTACGCGAGAAAAATAATTATGTCAAACTCTAATCTTCCACCTTAAATGCACGAACAACATCTAATATCATCACTAAAAAGATTACGACTTAAACAATATTATTTTGATCGATAAGCTTTCTAGAGTGCACCATCAAAACCACTCGATGAGATTGTTTGATGTTTACTAAGAGCTTATGACACTATCACTCAAGAAAAGCGATTAAGTTGATGACTCTAATCTTTCACCTTAGATGGGCAATCGACATTTAACATCACAATACCGATGTAAGTCTAATCACACAAAGGAATCTTTTAGTATGATTGATATCAAGTGAAACTTTAGTAATCAAGAAAGCAATTGGGTGATGCAACTATTGGAAAACTCAATAATAGCATAGTTATATTAAGAGCTTAGATAACCTATTACGTAAAAATAGGATCTATGGATAAGCTAATTGCATTCAAGAAAAAACATATCATGATGACCAAATTATGGCTAATTACATATTAGCCCCTTAGTCAAACCTTCTTAGTATCTCGATTTTTAAACTTAAAAAATTTACGAAAGTGAAACATTTAATTCCATTTACTATAACACCATCAATTTTACTAATAAAAATATAAAAATAATAAATAAAAAAGATAATATTAATATTTCAGTTGGTGGTGGCGAATGACGTTGGTGGTGACGAACGACAAGACTACTATGGGCCACAGGTGATTGTTGTAGATGAGGAGAGCGACGACGAGAGATAAGGGCTGCTCAACATCTGTGTCAACGTCGATGTAGTTGTTGAGTAACTCTTTCGACACTCTATATCTGCATCGACATTGATGTCGAGCGACCACGACATAATTGCCGAGCGATGAAAGGGTCGCTCGACATTTGCATCGGTGTCGACCCAGATGTAGAGTGACAAAAGGAACGCTCAACAACTATATCAACGTCGACACAGATGTAAAACGACTCTTACCTCATGTCATTGCTTTCATCATCTACAACAACTATCCGTAACCCCCAGTAACGTCACGTCCGTCACCACCAACACCGTTCGTTAACACCAACTGAAATGTTGAAATTATCTTTTTACCTATTGTTTTTATATTTCCATCAATAAAACTAGTTTTACTTTTATAATTATAGAAATTCTAATGTAAAATTTTTAAATCTAGAAACTTAGATACTAAGAAGATCTAACTACATGAAAAAATATGTAATTAGCCCATGAAACAACAACAAAAAGAAGAATCTCAAACCTGCACTGCACACTGTGAAAAGAAAATAAATTTACATAAATGTCTTTGTTTACAGCACTTCAAAGTAATATGGACATCCAGAAATAGAAGAAATAAATACAATCTATATCTATTAAGTAAAAAGGTTATGACCATTTGGCTGCTGGAATGTCCACTTTGTTGACTGTAATGATAATTTATAAGGTAAAGATTGGTAGCTGAAACTCCAGAGTGTCTTGGCTTCCATTTCATCTGCATTAACAAAAACTCGTGTTATATGCACATATTATCAGCAACAGGTAATGCCAACCCACTCTGCTGATTGTTAGCAGAACTCGTTGATGAGCGAAGATAATGTTCTGAATCATTCTCATCATCTTCACTGTAGTCATCGATCTCACTGTCTTCATCAGAGTCATTATCTTCCTTATAGTGACTTTGAGCTCCTCCATGTTCATCACTAGAAATGTCAACAGCATTGATCCAACCGTCAAAATAAGAATCATGTTCATCCTACAAAGGCAAAAAGGGTGTTAGTCATTTCCAAATACCATCACCGGACACAAAATATTCTCAGGCAACCTTATTGCTTGTGCCGTCAGCCTCACTCTCTTCATTATAGTCATCGTCATCATTGTGATTATGAGCATCTCCATCATCACGGTCAATGGCAACAGAACCATTGAAAGTATCAAGATAAGCCTCATCACCCTCATCCTACAAGGTCAAAAAGTGGAGTCTGATTTCAGAGGCTGATTTGCCACAAAACTGACTGAATTTGAAATAACAATATGGTGCAAGGTACACTAAGAACAAACATATGTTTCACATTTGGAACAAATAGGCCCACCTCTGAATCTTCTTCATCTTCAGTTGAATATGCTGAGTCCAAGTTGGCATACAATTCCTCATCTCCATGGTCTTTAACATTGTCCAAGTGAACCTGAAAGGAGAAAAGATTTTCTGAGAATCTATAAAAGGTCTGCAACTTTTTGACTAAGCAAGCCTACAACATTGTAAAATAATCAAAAGCAAAAATAAGATACCAATTCAGATCTCAACTGCTCCACTTTCTTTTGCACATTTGAGATATGACGGTTAAGAGCCTACATATCAAAGAACAGTTTACATCAGAAAAACAAGAAAGAATGCAGATTAACAGATGACCTGTAAATAATTGTTCATATACTTTCAAGTTGAAAGCTTCAACAAAGAGGGCAAGGAAGAAAATCTCTTGCATGAAAAGCTTTCAACTTGATTAATTTCTTTTTTTAATTTTGTTTCCAAGGTTTCCTAACATAACCATTCTTTGGCAAACAAAAATGGTATACCTCGCGCCTCTGAAGTTCTATCGATCGTGCTAGAGCCTTCCTCTTTGTCAGTAGATTCTTAGGTCTCAATGTAGGAGGCCGATGATAATCCTTTCCCCTGTACACAATAATGGCAAAACCTTTGGAAATCTTGTCCACAGAGACTAGGACACCCCCACTTTCTGCTTCAAGTGCCAAAGCGACATTCTGAACCTGTGCAAAAGTCTTTGCTTTGACAATAATCTTCACCAACTCCCTGTACTTCCAGTGTAAGTGCATATTCTCGATCGTGCCATCGAAAACACCCCTCCTCCCTGCAACCATTACCATCCTTATGAATACATAACAAAATATGTAGATTTGAGCGATATCAATATCTGAAAGTAAAAAATTATACTTCAGTACAAAGTTACCAAGGAGCAAAAATGCCTTCATCCTCAAACCAAGCTTTCGAAACATGAACCTTTCTTCATCGGTTATTGCTTCAGGATCCTTAACGTGTTCAGTTGGTTTTAAGGATTCCTCCACCTTAGCTAAAGCTTTTCCAGCTTTCGTTAATTTCCGTTCAGCCTGTCACACATAATGTTTAACTTGAAAACATACTTTCCCAGTAACTATGTGTGCACTATATACGTGTAAATCATTCTGAAGCATGCTATGCAACTAATCCTGAAGCATGCAATCATTTAATGGTTTAATATGCTCTTAGAAAGTCTCTACAAACCATGTTATTTATACTATTACTCATGCTGGCAAAATGAATTGGTTAGCACTTAGCACCATCAGATCCTGAAAATTACCGGTTGCAAAAGACTTGCTCTAGGAGTACAGTAGCAGAGAATCATAGGGACACAATCAGCTGGAAGGGAAGGAAACTAATGCAATTGTAGGTCAATTGTGCAGTGAGAACAGAAATATACATGAGACATATCATTATCATGAATTCACTGCATGAAATTTAACAAGCTATGATTTCTCAATAGCTAAGCTCTAATATATTTTTATAAAAAAAAAGCCAGAAATAAGTTTGCAGCATTCTGCTCTCTAAGTCTACTGACACAGCAAGACAAAATGCAAGTTTCTACATCGATGTGAAAACCTATTCATGGGCACATCTGAAATGAACTGAGAAAAAGATTAATGGGACAGGTTGGACAAGAAACCAAATCCTAGAAAAGCCATACCTACTCTATTTACTTTAAGATCATAAATTTGATCAGAGTACGGACTTTTTCTTCAAATATGATTTAAGACCCACTAACTTGTCTTCCAGATATGCTACACAAAAATTACTTGGGACATACTTCGAATCTCAAGACAAGCCAGAAGAATTCAGTAAATATTACTCATGATTCTTAAGTGCCAAATGTTCAATACTTTAAGATACTTACTATGAAAAGCTTCCTCTCTAGCTTCTTCACAAGACCAGCATGCCTTGCCATTTCGGCAGCTCTCATCATTTTGTCCATGTGATCATCACCTATATTATTTCCCCATCTGGCAGCAGCTTCAAGCGTTTCATTCAGGGTACCAGCTGTCCCAGATTCATCAAATGAGTCAACATCTGAAGCAACCGAAGATGATGCTCTTAGTCGTGCTTGTTCTTCTTCATCTTGAAGGGCTTTTGCTAATCTTTCCCGCTCAAGTAATGCCTCTGTAACTTCTGGAGACAAAAAGTCCTTTCCTCTATAAAATACAATGTAATCCTTGTTTCTAGAGAGAATTGCACCCCCAGTTAGCTTCTGCAATCAATGATGACACAAGAAGCATTAGAAACGTCCTTCTTTTGATATTTCAAATTTGGGAACAACCTCGTATTGGATAGTGACAACAGGACAAAAAATATCAGCAAGTTGATCATTTTGATGCATCTAGGTTCCATTAATCACAAGGTGAATGAACTAAAGACCAATCAAGTTTGATCCTTCAATAACATAAGACTAGTACTATTGACCTTTAATATTGACAACAGGAGTCAAATGAAGTAAAATACTTCATTCCTAAACAATCAACTTCACAAAACCATAATCCTTTCAAAATCGTAATCAAATCATTCGATCAAGCAAGCATGGTACACAAAGAAAAGGACTTAAAAAGATTGTTATAATTACTATTTTTGAGATTCATGTCTGAATTTTTAATTTATGTCATTCACCAACAAAAATTTTCAGCAGCACTTAGTTCCAAGCTCTGTTGCAAACTAAATATGATCCATTTAACTTCTATTTAAAGTCACCAGTGGATGGATACAATATTACCTGCAACCCATGTTAAGTGGCTTTTAACAAGAAAACAAGAATGAACCAGAAAGCTATTAACAAAGGCTTGTAATAACCAAATAGCTATTAGCAAAGGTCTGTAATAAGTCCTTTTTCCTTTTTTTTAGTTTAATTCCCGCAGACATGACTATGATACAATCATGAACAGGATTATAGGCTTGTGGCTTCTAGTCATGGTTGTTAAAGTCACTTGATGTCAGAGCTTATCCTAAAGTTGTGTGCTTGATTAATCAGTTATATCTTTTAAGCTTTATATATAATCTCAGAAACAGAAGTTACAAATACCAGTAATGAAAAGGAAAGTAGAAAGGAAATAGGCAACCATTCAAGTCTAGGGAAATCAGAGGGTTATTCAATGATTTCATGAGATTAAACTACAGCAAGTAAAAAATTTACAAGAAGGAAATATTTATAACACCCGACTAGCTTTGTATCTTATGAACTCCTCTCTTAGCCTAAATTTACTCTTGGCTACAATTTTGACATCAGCATAGGGCAATAAAAAGATCCGGATACCTTGTCTATATGAGGGGAAAACATGCAGAAATTTTAGAATAAAGATTACATCTATCTTATAATAAATGTTAATTAATTAACATATAAAGTAGAAATTCAAACTCAAAAGTAATCCATATATCGTTTGTTACTAAGAGGAGAGTAGAAATTCCTTGACTATAGTTTTGCACGAAAACTTGTTACTAAGAGGCGAGGGAAGTTTAATAACTTTGATATCTTCAGCCATTCTCTCACTGCTAGTAAGCTGCACGCCACGCTTCAAGGAAATCTTTGCTATAGAACTTTTCTCCCAAAGCTTCACCATGGCTGCTGCTAACCCCTGATGTTGCCTGCTTCTCCCTGAAAATGTTCAACAACACAAAAAATGCATAAAAACGAAAAGTGATCACAATATTTACAAAAGTGAAGAAACAGGTGTATGCTTACCAAGAGCAAAATGTGGAGGTAATGCCCTTGCAAGCCTACGTAATGCTGTGCCTTCCTTTAGCCCAAGAGAAGGTCTCACTCCATAGGGGAGAATTCTAAAAGGGGGCTTATAACCAGGAACTACACTTGGAAGCAAGTCAGCATCTACAGGTGGTGGACCACTTCCAGGCCAATCTGTATAACGAGGGCCTAGATCATCCAATAGCTTGTCAATTTCACTTTCATATTCAATCTTTGGAGGTGATTCCACATCTTTTTCCTCCTCAACTTTAACAGTTAGATGTTCAATAGGACCTGCCACATGACTGCCTCTACCATTTTCTACAAAAGCCTCAGCCCGATAACCCAGAGGTTGTTTAAAGGAGTCCAAACTGGCTCTCTGATTACTCTGATATGGTCTCTTGACTAGTTGAGGGATCTCATAAGTCACACCCCTGTATAAAGAAATCGAGGTCCCTGACCTCCAAATCACCAATCCTCCTGTTTTCCTCTGTTAACATTGATGGATTGATATCAGCACACCTCTCTGAACCCACTTCACACGATTTGGTAAAAGAAAAGGACAGATAAAATGCAAGGGTTCAGACAATATAAAACTGAATGCAAGGTGTCAATAACTGTATACCACCTACATATGCTGACAAATATTAGCAGTTAAGAAATATAGACAGAAGCTAATAATTACTCAGAAGTGACACCTTTAAAGACCAAAAAAAAAAAAAGCATTGATCAAGGATTCAGGCTATGTCAAGGATACAAAGTTGCTCAGAGAACCTATCAGGTGATGCTGTGATGGCTGCAGGAAAATTAGCATATTACTTATTTCTCCTAAAACTGAGCAGCCACCAAAAAAAAAAGCCACATTGGCTCACATTTGTCACAGAAAACAAAATCAAGAAGGCAAAAAGAAAGGATGTGCAGCAAAGAAATATGGCATATGTGCAACAAGCCTCCGATTGCACATGTGCAGTACTTTCTTTCTCTATATTGCAACTATTAGAATCACCACCGCTATGTATATGGATCAGAGAGTGTTGCATTGTAGTAAAAGCAAGTTATCTACAAACAAGTCATAAAAAGAATCCAGGCATTCACCAACTAAATCATATATATTGTAGAACAAAGTTTCCATCATTGACAATCTACAAGGACTATTACCTCTTATTGCTGATCATAATCAAATTCTGAGGGAAGGTCAAATCCTAAGCTGGGCCAGAAAAATGTTGCTTAAATGAATGAGGAATGATACAGTAAGAAGGATTGAAGAATGTTAACTGTTCCATTTTGCAGTAATGGGGTGTCAACTTGATATTGAGCTACCATTTCTTTAAGACTACGCAATATACTTCAATAGGACAAATCATAAGCCACCTTACCTCCAAGATCTCGTGCATCCGCTTCATGTTAAGAGCCGGAGGCCCCTCGCACTTGAGCCTCACTACCTCCTCCGTCTTCCACTTCTCGTGAATCAAGTCCACGATCTCCTTCGTCACCCCAGCCCCTCCAATCTTGGTCTTTGATTTCGTCCTGATCGCCAGGTGCCGCAGCCTCCGCAGCTCCCCTTCCGGAAGGGTCAGCTCCGCCAACGAAGTCTTGCTCCTCGTCTTCCTCGCTGACGCCTGCTTCTCCTCCTCCTCCTCCCGAGGCTTCTCCCAAGGAAATCGCGCTTTCTCATTCACATCCCAAGACAAGCCGCCCCTAGAATCAGGCAAAATCCCATCTTCCGCGTAGAAGATGTCCTCCACGGAACCCTTCTCCGGCAAGGGTCGCTCCTTCACTTCCTCGGAGTCATCGATATACCCAAATTTCCTCAATTTCTCAACAATCTTCGCCATGGCACTGCTTCCGGTGCTCCTGCTGGTGCCGTACTCATCGTCGTCACTGGAAACACTCTGCCGGTAATCCAGCGCCGCTCGAGGCTTCTTCGGGAGCGATCGAAAGCGGGGCTCAGTCCAGTTCTTGATCCAGGGGGCACTTTGGTGGTCGGACTTGAGGGAAGGCAGGGTTTTGTCGCAAGGGTCTCGATTGGGGTAGGGGTTTCGCGAGGGGAAGGTGGCCGAGGAGGAGAAGCGGCAGCAACGGCAGCGGCGAAGGGGGAGGAGGAGTCGAGGGAAATGGAGGCGGGAGAAGGAGGCGTGGAGGGAGTCGAAGAGGGTGGTGGAGTGAAGCTGGAGTCCGGCCATTGGGCCGGGATTTGGATGGGAAGAAGGGGTTTTAAGAGGACATGCGATGGAGAGGAGGAAAAGATCCCAAGCGTCGCAGGAGATAGAGAGTTATCTACAGTGCGACCACGTAAACGAGTCAAAATTAACGATCCAAATCAAATCAAGTCAACGATCAAGAAAGACTTCTTCGCGAACATCACTGATCTGGTCTTAAGATTCGGGTTCTTGATGGGCTCCGCAGGCCAACCCGAGATGCCACCTCGGCAGAAAGGCCGAAAGACCAAGCTGTAAATGGGCCACAAGAGAGCCCATCAATCTTAATAGTTTACTTCATGAGGCCCAAAAGGCCTGTTCATTATTAGAGGCTATATTTTTCTTTTTTCTGGAAAAAAAGAATTCTAGCAGGGGGCCTACCTTTCTTCTCGCGGTCAAAGCACGTTCACCTCTCTTGTTTACAAACACGCACTCGATGGTTGGGTCACCGACGATTACCCACCACTTACTGATAGCAAATTGAACCGACGCACTCCCTGTTCTTACCACGCGTGTGTTTGCTCGGTGCCCCAAACGTGTTGCTTCTCGTCGACCTTCGTCGTTATATATTTCTTGCCACGAAACGAAACGCAATGCGTGAGAAGGCAGCGCCCGTTTCGCGCCGGTTCCCCGCCGGCTCTTGCGTTAAGGATCGCGGCTACCTTTGATAGTTTCGCAATGCGCTCCGCCTCGCCGCGGGGCTACGGGGCATTGCCCTCCCACGCGGCCGCACCCTCTCCAATGTCGGCGCCGTCCGCGGTCCACCGCGGGGCCGCCCTCGTCTCCAGCCTCCGTGAGCAGGGCAGGGCCCTAATCGCGACCCAGCGCCCCTGGGGGCAGCTCCTCGACTCTGCCGCCCTCGCCCGCCCCCCCTCCGCCGGGGAAGCCATATCCCGGCTCCGCCGCAACCTCACCTACTTCCGCTCCAACTACGCCCTCTCCGTGCTCCTCGCCCTCGCCATCGGCCTCATCTGGCAGCCAGCCTCGTTGGCCGCCGCCCTCATCCTCGCCGCCGCCTGGTTCTTCCTCTACCTGGCCCGCGACAGGCCGCTCGTCCTCTTCGACAGACGCTTCGACGAAGGCACCATCCTCGGCGCCCTCTCCCTGGCCACCTTCTTCGCGCTCGTCTCCACGGATCTCGGGTCGAACGTGTTCAAGTCAGTGGGGGTCGGCCTGCTGCTCGTCGGAATGCACGCGGTCTTCAGGATTACGGATGACCTTTTCATGGATGAAAGCGAGGCCGTGAGCGGTGGATTGGTCGCCGGCTTGGGCGGTCCGGGGCGGCCGGCCTTCGTCGTCCGGGTGGTGTAATCGTTCCCGCAACTGTTGTGCATGAGGCATTGCGTTCTGGATTCCAAGAAGGCCTCTAAGCAATGGTGATGACATAAACAATACGCTCCCTCCTTTTGCATTTGGATTCTTCGTCTCTGTATTGTTCTAATCTCAACTCATTTATTGGAATTGTTGTGACACTGAAAGGTCGCTTAGTAGCAGTTGTATTACCAACATCAGACAATGTGTGATGTTAAAATTAATTGGAAGGAATAATAAGTTTTCTACAGGTCAAAGTATACAAACTCAAGTTCAGTCTGAAGTCAACTCAATTTCTCAGTTTCAATGGAAGACTATATTAGAAGTCAACTCAAGAACTAGAGAAAATAGTCAGTGATCATCATATGTCCGAGCAAAAGAAATGTTAATAAGAACAGTAATATATTTATATTTAATAAACACAGAAAAGGTTTACACCAGAAAAGATTTCAACAAAAGCTCCATCTGTATACAAACCTTGCATGAACATGAAAGCTCATTTGGGCTGCAAGGATCAAAAAGAACCCTCTCATGGAACAAGAAGAACACCACCTTCGGTGCTTCCAGCAGGTAGTCTACTCGATCACTGTTCTTGTGTCTAATCTGAAGAATTGAAATCTCAATATAAAACTTCACATCCATGAAAAATATGCAGCTTGTGATGTTAAAATCCATTGTTGTATGAACATCAACCAAGGACTTCAATTAGTTTTCTTTTTTTTTATTTTCTGAGTAGGATGTTGATATGCAAGAAAAGTAGCAGTCTAACAAATTAGCTTGATTAAAATTTTAATTTTGAAGATATACAGCATGGAGATTAAAACGTATAATCGAATGACTTTGCTATTCAATTTCACCCCCTTCAGAATAATGCAAAACTTTTCACTCCCCATAGCTTCCAGAATCATGACTGTGGACATAAGCATCCTTGTTATTTTGGAGTTCAGAATTCATCTAATCAGATTATGTTCTCTACAGCTTTCAACAACTAACCATTAGCTTTTCGTTAGGCTAATTGTTACATGCAAGTTCAGTCACTGGCTTGTCCATGCATCATCCAAATTCCTATCTCAAATCAAAATGATCCTAATTTTTCAGTCAACAATGATAGGTAGCTCCAGCAGCTTCACGGAAACTTTTTGTCCGTTCAAACTGCTACATTAGACGTAAATAAGAAGTGCCTATACTATCTATATTCAGCCCACATATGATAAACCTTTTTTTTAGTTTGACAATTATTAAATCTGAAACTCTTTTCGTGTACTCCCCATAGCGTTCCGTTAACCACCAGACTCACGTGACGCATAGTCTGGAAGCATGCGCCGCAATGCAATAGTCTGGAAGGGTGTTAAGAAGCATAAAAGCAGCCGAACATCTCTCTCCACCTAGTCAATTTGAACTTGTAAGCTATACACTGACAATGATCCAACACATGGAGACAGGAACCAACAAATACCACATCCCTGTGGAACCTCAAAGTAATAATTTAACAAACATGTAAAGAAAGAGTGATTATGCATCCAAGAAACTTATGAACACAATGTTATGAAAACAATAAGTTTTTGACAAGGAAACCTGATAGTAATTTAGCGTGATCAAGATAATTACAAAGCCAAGGTACATAAAAAATATCGAAGAATCTGCATGTCACTAAAATTTCTTGCAGGCAGTAAAAGAGTATATTTCAATGATTTACCTCATTCGGAGAAGTTACTTATTCCTATCTGGCCTGACCTCGTCAACATTCTTTTCCTACAAATCATGCAAAAGAGAAAAAAACATGACGAGACTTCCAATTTCATAAACAATAAATCGATTTTAATCAATTTATAGACTTGGCAAACCATTGCTGGGGATGGATCCTTCCGGATTTTCCGAGTTGGGCTCCTCATTGTGACAAACTCCTCTGCAGATGTTGGGTGAATTCCGACGGTGGAATCAAAATCTGCCTTAGTTAGTCCAGCTTTTACAGCAATAGCAATCCCCTGAAGCATATAAAAATCAAGCCTGGTAAGCTAAAAGCTAGGCAATATAAAGGGGATGCAATTAAAACAAATAAAAGAAACCTGTATAATCTCAGGAGAATCTTCCCCACACATGTGCACTCCTAACACTTTGTTTGTGCTAGCACATACAATAAGCTTCATAAAGTCCCGATCAGGCAGGCCAGAAAGAGTGGCTTTAAGAGGCCTGAAGTTGGCTGTGTAAATATCAACATCACCATACTCTTGAATAGCCTGCACCATCATCAGATATTAATGGGAGAAACAAAAAAACCCAAATGCACACTTCAAGTATAATCATGGCAAGAAGAATTTGCCTCACCTGCTCCTCCGTAAGACCAACTTGTCCTATCGGAGGCTGGCAAAAAACAGCAGAGGGCACAGCTCTGTCAAAAACAAATAATCCACTAATAAGAGAGAATTTTGGATTGACAGATCCACCCACGTGATTTTACATGCCTAAAAGACTAGAGCATAATGTTAGTGACACTTGCATTTGCAAAATGAAGCCTAGAAGCATGACTTAGCATGTCCTCAAGTATGTGTCATGCAAATTTATGATGGAAAAAAATGCTAGTTGTCTACTTGTGGAAGTTGCAATAGCGTGTTCTACAAGCACACGTCATGCAAATTTAAGCTGCAACAAATGATTATCATCGATTGGCACTACTGCATCTTATTTGGTTGACTAAGTGCATGAACACCCATCATTTCATAAATAATTAACCAACTACAGCACATACTCATCAAATTCTAAGAATATTGATGGATCAATTGTTAGTTCTACAAATTAACTAGTGAATCTCAGAAACCAGCTTATCATCAGTAATTGGAATAAAAAAGGCTTCATGAGCTACTAATGTCTACAGGCCTTGGTCTTGTGAAGTTTAGATGGAGCCTTCTTACTTCAGGGATCTACCATAACTAAAACTATTCTCTCCAGTGATAATTAATAATCCTGATATTATTGTCATCAATATCAAATTATTATCTTTAAAGCTTCCTGCATGTAAAGCTTCAAATATCTTAGCAATAAAAGCACCCTGTTGAAGGCAAATTTTATTATTCCTATTTTGTTATAATTATTCCCATGTCTTATTTAACTTTTTAAGGATTGCTCCTTTCTTGCACAGAGCTTCAACTAGAAACCACATAGTAGATTCTACTTTCCAAATAGTTTTTTTGATGATAGTTGATGATAAAATTTGGCAACGCCGATCTTCCATAAATTTAACTAGAATTTGCTCCTGACTTGAACCCACAGTGTCAGGATGTCAAATAATGACATCTTTTGTATTACAAAAGACAACTTGATAAATAACAACAAATGAACTTATGTGATATATGATATTTGACAATGAAAGATCAAGATCATAGGTCACAAAAGAACATGTCAATGATAAAGATTGCATTAGAACAAGAGGCAACATTCAAAAATTATTTAGAACAATAACTGTTTGGCTGACCTTAACTAGTAGAGATAATATTGATGATTTGTTTACGAGGATCCAGAATATTCTCGTACACTCATGATATTCTTGTTTCAATTATCATAGTCAGGCAATAGCTCAACAGTCACCATTTCAAAAGCGCCTTCTACAAATTGCCTCTCCAACACTATAAAAAGTTCTGTGGGTTAGAAACAAACCTGTAATCTGGCACAGTAGGTTCCTTGCCAAACACAGTTTTAGCAAAAGCCCCTCCTTCCATCAATGCAACAGGGGTCAAGTTCAACCTATCCGTAGCATCTCCAACAGCCCAAATGGAATCAACCGATGTCTGAGAGTATTCATCAACCTGGACCAAATGACTATTTTGATCAAAAGGCCACAGAATACTTGTATAAACAAAATAATTATGTTGGTGAATTCATATGTACCAGAATTGCACCATTCTTGGCCAATTCTACCCCAACATCCTCCAATCCCAAGTTCTGCATATATGAAAGAGAACCATACATATATAATTCTTAATACAAGATCCTCCTCCTCTCCCAAAAGAAATGCAAAGTAAAATAAAATGATCAAACCTTTGTATTTGGTCTTCGACCTGTTGCAAACATTATATGTGAGAAACCATCTACTGTTTCTTTGTTAGTTCTAAGTGATAGAAGACCATCTGATGATTTAAGGATTGCCTGAGGAGTCTCCTCTGTGTGAAATTCAATCCCCCTCAAGGACATTTGCTCTGAAACAAAGTTCCGAATCTGCATAAACCTATATTTTAGAGAATGATTTTCACAATAGAAGGCGTACATATACATATGTTAATTCCACTAACTTCCTTACCTCCTCATCAAAGCCCCTCAGCACTTTCTTTTGTCGAATAAATACATGAACTTCACTCTTTAATCCATTAAAGATGCCAGCAAATTCCAAAGCAATGTATCCACCTCCTACTATTGCAATCTTTTCAGGCTTTGAAGGCAAGTCTAATGCAGCATCTGAGTCAATAGCATGCTCTATTCCAGGAATATCTGGAAGGTTGGGTCGGCCACCAACTGAGATTAGTATATGCCTAGCAGTATAGTGTTTTCCATCCACATCAACAGTATGTGGGTCAACTATCTGCATCATCACGACCAACACAACAAATAAATAAACCTTACAACAGTTAAAATCTATGGTGCAGACAAAGTAACTCTTAAAACTATAACCTGATCTCAGAACATCATCCAACCTTTCCACGGCCTTCAATTAAAGTGACCCCAGAATTCTGCAGAATATTTTTATAAATCCCTGTCAGACGTTGCAATTCTGCATTCTTGTTAGCAATAAGTGTGCTCCAGTCATGCATGGGATCGGCCTCATAGGTCCATCCAAAGCCACGACTCTCTTCAAATTCATGGGAATATTTAGATGAATAAACGAGTAGTTTCTTTGGAACGCATCCACGAAGCACACATCTGCAGCAGTAAATATAAGCATAAAATCAATTAAATGAACAAAAGATCATAGTCCATTCAGAAGAATGAGAATTAACCTTAAAAGCAGGGCTTTCCCCTTCCCTAATAATATATGACTTTTCTAGTCTTCAAGAATTACAAGTTTTACAGAATAAAGAAAAAATGATTTAAAATGAAATATATAATAAAAAAAATTACATCAGATGGTGTCTCCCTCACTTTGTTAATTGTAAAAATGAACAATCAATCATAATTCATAAAGAAGCAACTTTACAGTTGTGCCAAGAATTACAATCATATTGAGACCAAACTAGCAACAATTTGTGCTCCAACCCAAGATCCATCTTGATGTATTACAATTATGTAGGCAGAAAATAATTATGCAAGTAAATGAAGATTACGTTATCATTCTCCAGAAGTAGCCACAATTAGTTGTTTTGTGGATTCCCAGGTTCAATAAGTGTACTTCACGGAATTTCACATTATAATCACAGGAAAGAGGCAAGATGTTCATCTTCAAATAATTTTCATGGACATGCTTTATCTTTTACTGTTTTTTTTATAATGTATACCTGGAGCATCATGATCTCATACGAATGCATAATTGTTGTGCCACGAAAAAACACAAAATCCCTACATAAAAAGAAACAATCAAAAGGAACCTAGTATGTTTTTCATGTAGGATCCAGTCCCATCTAATTCACGGAATTTCAATAAGTGTACTTCACGGAATTTCACATTATAATCACAGGAAAGAGGCAAGATGTTCATCTTCAAATAATTTTCATGGACATGCTTTATCTTTTACTGTTTTTTTTATAATGTATACCTGGAGCATCATGATCTCATATGAATGCATAATTGTTGTACCACGAAAAAACACAAAATCCCTACATAAAAAGAAACAATCAAAAGGAACCTAGTATGTTTTTCATGTAGGATCCAGTCCCATCTAATTCATGAAAGGTAATCCAAGATTCTGGAACTTATCTGTATCGTTTGCACAGAATTATCAACCCAACAGGTCAACTCTCGTATAAGGGGGATAAAGCAACATGTTACAGTCCCATGATTCCAAGATCCGAACTTGGAGCCTAATCTTAGGACTTACCCTGAAACTTATGTAGTATATCGATCACCTCAATTTAAAATCTTTTCACCAATATACCATTAAATTAATTGATCGAACGTCAAAACACTTCTTTTGATCCATCAAGCAAACATCCAAATAACCAAAAATAGTAGAACATCCACGACACATCCCGCTTCTACAGTAGAAACCGCACAACAAAGAATCACCGGTAAGACAAGGCAAGGAGATAAGATCAAGCTTACGTTCCGCCGACCCCGCCAGCACTCTCTGAGGATATCGTCGAGAAGGGGAGCTCGCAGATGGCCACCTTGGCGCCATAAGTCGCAGCAAACCGTGACGCCCGAACGCCTCCACTGCCAGCGCCTATGGTGAAGAGGTCAAAGTCGAATTGGCGGGGATCTGGAGCGCCGTTTCCTCCGTCAGCGCTGGCGCGGGTGGCGAGGCGGCGTCGGGGGAGATTGGAAGGGAAGCGAGGGAGCGGGGGAGACCTCAGGGCCCTAGACGAGGTGAAGAGAGGCTTCTGAGGTTGGAGGACGAGCGTTCTGGAGAAGGTTCGGAGGGCGGCGGCGGTGGACGCGAGGGTTAGAGGCGGCGCTCTGAGGGAAGGGGCGGCCGCCATCGCTTTGGTTGGAATCTAAAACACGGAGACGAATAGAGAAGATAGGTGGGAAGCAAAAAGATATATATGCATTTTATATATTATATACATTATATATATATATATATATATATATATATATATATATATATATCGCTTTTTTATTTTATTCAATATAAATTGCACCAAATTGTTCACAAATAAGATATTCATTTTACTATCTTTCCCTATCTCAACACTTTTGTATATGTTATTTTTTAATCATCCAATATTCATATCCATAAAGCATTAATAGTCTAATAATAATATTAATTAATTTTCCTCTTACTTATCTTTATATCTATATATTAATCTTTAAATCTCAAACGACAATTGACGCAAAGCTAATTAGAGAAAAGAAATAATACACATTTCGATCTTTCCCCAGAGTTCATGTACTTCCCCATACGAGAATAACAAAAAAATGTTGGGCACACCTACATCCATCTTGGTTGCACAATTAATTTCACAAGCATAGCGGCCAATGATGCCGCAAAGAGGTATGTGTAATTTAGATAGTTGATCAATCACCATGAATCTTCTCCTACTTTGGAAATAACAATCTAATTGTGTGAGTCAATCAAATGTCTTCAACTATTCAAGAGTTGCGACTGTGAAGTGTTCACGAATGTTGCGCTTTTGTTGAGACCTTCAAGCAGTAGGATTCTTATTGCTTCCAAGCCTCTTTGGAAGGCAAAGTCTAGCTGTGGAAACAACAAATATGATCCCAGTTAAGTTATTTTGTATACAGTTACTGTTATTAGATCTGTTAAGTTCTTTTGGGAACAAAAGAAAGGATTGGTGCAAGAACCTCTTCTCGTTCTTTCCTGTTGAAGGGTCGGAGTACAAAGCTGGCAGGAACCATCTTCCCTGGTGGTCTTCCGATACCTTGACATCCCCAAATATGAGATCGTGAAACCATGAACAATGTTAAGAACGATCAGATATTCAACTCACCTATTCTTAGACGTGGGAAATCACGACTTCCTTTCAAGTGGTCGATCACACTTCGCATCCTGGCGGCAGATATAAGCATAGAATAAAATACACTATCGCAAAAAATGAAGCATTACACATGATTCACACAATTGATCCAAATGTGACAATTGAAAGTTGTGGTTAAAGATGTGCAAGGAAAAAGAAGGTTGCCAAATTACTTGGTAATTAAGTTCTATATTTGATAAATTGGTAGGCATTGGCTTTTTCTCCTCAAATTCGAGAAATCAGAACTCACTTATAATAGACAGACATTAAGTAAGCTTGAACAAGAGTCTAAAATATCGATAGGACTCAAAATTTATTGTGTTTGGACACCTAATTTGAGACTCTTTGTTAATATTGTCCGATCATGTCTAACCACTTCTCATTTAAAACAAAATAACTTGCTTGTACTAGCACTCCACCTCCTAAGAGCCTTTTCCTCATATGGCTAACTCTTTTGTAATTTATATACTAATATATGTTATCTTATATAAAATAACCACCTCAGTACAGTGTACATAATCTCACTACTCTATTCTCATATTTCTTCCATCTTACACTCATAGGCATGAGAGGACTCGACTTCTAGCATTCCTTAGTGGTTCCTCTTGGTGCAAACCAAACCACCAAGTCTTCTACTAAGCTATTTTCTAGCATCACCAGGTATCATGTGAAACAAACAAGGTGATATGGCTTAGATAGAAAAATAGGCAGCTCCAGCGTACATGAAAAGACTCGTGCCAAAGTAAGAGTAAAAGGTTTCATAATCATGACTAAACCAAAGTAAAAGGTTCCATAATCATAAGGCAGCTCACTTGTGCCAATTTTGTCAGCATAAGATAATTGGTAAAGAATAATAAATTACCCATTGTGTCCTCCATGCCCACCTTTTGGCAATAAGCGCAATTTTGCAAAAGGTAAATCTAGGTCATCATACATCTGTGCAGCAAAAAGCAATAGCTCATCAGATATAAGAAAACAATATTACATATAAGACACCTAGTTCAACAAAATGTACTGTACCAAAAGCACTTGATTCAGAGGTATATTGAAGTACGACACCAGTGGTCCAACCTACAATAAGTGTCCAATCTGACATCATCCAGAAATGATATATAGATGTTCAGGAAGTCCGTGTAGACAATTGTGCTTACAGATTCACCACTTAAGTTCATGAAAGTTGTTGGTTTTGCAAGCATGACAGGAACATCACAGATGCAACCTGAGTTGAGAAGAAAAGTATTCATAACATGTACTCAGAGTTATATGTAATAGAATAAGCAAAAACTTCGAAATATGCTTATAAATGTCATAGAAGTTGTGTATCTTCATAGGTTTTCAGTAACATAAATGGTTCACGATATCTATTAAATTCAGTGTAGGCAGTCATCTAGCTGAGTGGATAGGGAGAGAACTAAGTAGGTTACTAGGTGATAACAGCATGAAACCAATGAACGAGATCTAAAATGGCGGCTCATTATCAAGAACAAAGGTTACTATTGTTAAACCAAATTTAAGAATCCATCCTTTACCAACCCGGAGAAATAAATTGGTTACAGGTCAAGTGACATAAATCTGTTGGTGGATTGGCTCAAGAGATATTTAGATCAAGCAAAAACTACCTGATTAACGAGTTCAATCCGACACACTTAAACCTGACCGAGTGATTTGCAAAGTTCATGTCAACCAGCCAAGCATTTACAGCCAGTTCAACTAAGACATACTGAGACAGAAGCCATATAAACATAACTCCAACCCTCACCATTATTATAGATTAAGAACAGGTCAGAAGCCTCTCAACATCCTAGAAATTTTGATGGTGCCACTTTTCCAGTTTTACGGCAAAGATAGATGAACATGTACTTGAGAGTATTATCATCTATAATTGTAAAAGAAAAGAAGGTAAAAATGAAATAACACAATATGCCAAAAATTACTCAGAATATGTTCATATTTCCTAAGAACTAGCAAGGGAAGTACTTGCTGAGCACTAGCAAAGTGGCATCTTTCAACTGATCCGAGAGCTTCCAAAAGTGTACAAGCATATGCTCCTATTAGAGGACTGAGGACCTAGACAACTCCTCATAACCATATCCATGGTGCTACACTACATTGCCACATTATCCAAGTCAGGTTTGGAATGTAACTTAATGTTTTAGATCATTTACGAATACTAAAATATTAATTGTGTACTCATATCAAATGGTTCAGATTTATCATTGAAGCTATTATAATGTCAAAAAAAAGTTTAAAGACTCATTGCTCTGTATCATTTTGGTGCATGAAAACAAAAATAATACAAAACAATTTTATACTTCATATTTTATGGTTTCATATTTCAACTAAAAGATAACAGTAAACTTTAACCTACATGTTTTGTTTGCAATCACAATCTCACATTAAAGAACAAGAATAAACAATATCTTTTTCTGATGATTTTATTATCATAAAAGCATCATTTAAAGTTTCTTTCAATCCAAAGAAAAGAGTTACCTGACAGTAACAATTTGTATAGAAAGAAAAATAAAAGTAAATTAGAAATTTACTCTTAACCTCAAGCTACACTGATGAATTCATTATATGTATATTGGATTGTTGACCTTGCTATAAAAATTTAAGGATTTAAAGGACCATGGGATTTGGGAGAACCTCCTGAAACCAAGTCATTCAATTGCGAGTGATCATAAATTCAAACAAATATACTGGAAAACTAATACAAAAGTTTAATATAACACAAGTCGTATAGCCATAAGATGATAAATAGACTATGCAGTGTACCAACAGATAAGTAACAGATAGACAAACCAGAAAGCCTTACTAGAAGAGAAGTATAACACAATGATGAACTTTATTCCATTAGAAAGAAAAAGCCAGATCTAATTCTTACTGCACTACTAGAAAATGAAATTCTTGTGATATATCAAAAACCACCAAAATCGAGCCCACTGGGACAACAGATCAGACATGTAAATGAGAATGCTATAAACAAAAAAAAGGAAAGCTATAAACAAGCAAACTACTAATGCACTTTGTCAATGTTAGTTTCTCAAAAGCACCCTAACTTTTTTTCCTCTTTCTATTATATCTAGAAAGAACATAGACCGACAAATTGTTGTTAATCAACATTGATAAAAAAAGGTCATAGTTCTGCAACATCTGTTAACATGTGAACACAAGAGCTATACTCAAAAGTTTGATATTTGCAATAGCCAAAAGTACCTTTTCCAAACATTGCTTTGAAGCGCATGCTACTCAATGATATCCCTTCAGCTTCAGCTATAACATCTATCATCTCAAAACCCACCTAAATTAGAATCCATCACTATGTTAAGAGTATCAAAAGCATAAAGCTAATAATTGCAGAAAATGGACTAGAATAGTGCAACCAAGAAGTAGATATACATGAGAAAACCGGGTTAGTAACATACTGAAATTGAATACATCCAGAATATTTGCACCTATAACCATAAGGATCAACCACCAAGTCTCGTCTCAACTTCTATAAAAGTTATCCATGTATATGTGAAGTCTTTCAGAAAGGGCAACCAACAAAGAAATAAATAGAACCCACAAATTATCCTGTTAAACTCTTGATAGATTAAGATAAATGTTTGTCTACCCAAATAAGATCAATATTTGCTGTGAATAAGAATAGAGATAAGTGATCAAGTAGAAATTCAACAGCTAAATGTAGTTAAAAAACAAGCAGTTATCTTCGCAACTGATTCTGTCCTTCATCAGCCCAATGGTTGGCCAAGGTAGAAAAGAAGATGATAGTAACAGCCCAACAGCACGTCATTTAGGTCGGAAATGTATGCAAAAACTTCTCTTTTCTTAATCAAGGGCACCAGAGAGCAAAATAGTGTTGTTGTGCATGAGATCAAAGCAAATAGAAACTACAAATACTCAAATTAAGAACTTGATGGATCATAAACTGAATGTTACTCTATGCATGTTGGTCATTAGATTCATATTTGTTGCAAGGAACAATTAGAAATAACTGACTGAGTAGAGATTGGGGTTAAATGGTAGTTTGGAAAAACAAGCAACTAGTATCACAAATGATCGGACGCCAAGTTCATCTGCTCAATGTTCGGGTAGGGTAGGGTACGAAAGAAATGGCAAAATCAGGGTATTATTTATTTTGGAAGCATATGCAAACAATTTACAAAAATTATCCATCAAAGATGGCATTCCTGGCTAATTATATTCTAAATCTACAGTTTTTCACCCTAACAGTTCGAATTTTAAGCAACGCAATGGCATTGAGAGCGTATTAAACGAACAGAAAAGGAAGAAGACGACATCTAACCCAACTTTGAAGACGCGCATAATAAAAGATGGAGAAAGTCGCTGGTCCATACATTGTGTCGTGTCCCCTGATACAACTTCCCAGGGTTTCCCAGGCCGACGAGGAGCCAAGGCTTGCGGTCGGTATCGCCGGCGGCGGCAGAGGAAGCGGAGGCGCGGGGAGGCGAGAGGGGGGACGGGACGGAGGGCAGCATCTGCATTCTCCTCCGGGCCGTCTTCGCCAAGACAGGGAGAGGGAGCCGCATGCCGCTCGCGACGGCGGAGGAGAAAGCCGCTGCGCCCAACATCACATGAAACCAAGACACGGAATCATAACGATCGAACGCCCGCCTCCTCTCAAGAATGGCATGCGAAGAAACCCTTACCATCTTGTTCGGCGAATCAAAAGTAACTTTGTTACCTGCTCCTCTACCCGACTTCTTATTCGATGCTAAGATGGTCCCACTGGCAGGTCCACCATATTCTGATAATACAGACTTCAGAAAGCTTATTAGAAGAAAATGAGCAGTCGTAAGAAACATACATAACAAGTAAAAGCTACCTTTGCGTATAGCTAAATAAGGATAGATTTCCATTTATTTATTTATTTTATTTTTTTAATTAGATATATAAAATAGTTAATTTATTTATTTTTTAATTATCGAACAGATATATATCACTCATATCGATCAGGTTCATTCTGGCTATTCCTTATCTAAGAAAATTATTCAATGATGTATAAGCATATTTTGTATGTAACAAAATGTTATCGATGAATTTAAATGGATATGTTTTGTAAAAGTATTAAAAGATCTCCTGTATTTAAAATTTTCGATGGAAATTCATTCCAAAAGAGATTATTCTCGGACAAGACTTAGAGCACGAAGACCGACGAACACATGACTTGCGCCAACACTAGGAATTGACCACGACCTTTACTTGATGATGATCTTGCTTTCACAACCCCTCCAAGCCCTTCGGGACGGGAGTATCCCGACGCTAACGCTGGACCGCTATCGGTGCCTATTCAATGACCCGGGACTCTCCCCTCGTGAATGGATGGGTACTGGATGGCTGGTTTGATAGGGTATGTGTCGGTATTGAATGATATTTTAGGTATATCATGTAATTTATAACCATGATGCTAATCCTAGTTAAACTTAAGTTAGTGTCAAGTCTCACATAAAGAAAGCTTATAGTAGGCTTGGTTGTCTCATTCTTAAAAATAGACCATCCAAGCAACAATCTATTGAAGCAACAATCTTGAAGATTTTTTTAGCTCTGCAAGAGTGGTGCAGAATATTAATCAGCATAACACCCTTAAGAAAGGTAATTCTAGAGTCAGCATCAACCATATTGAGACAAAACATTAACATCTCAGCATCAACCATATTGAGACAACATTAGCATCTCTGGCATCAGGTAGTTCGACAGTAAGGAAGATGAATCTTTTATCACTTGGTGCATATAGTATAGGCATAGATAATTAGTCAGTCATTCATATGCTATGAACAGATCTGTGCTACATTTAAAGTCATGAACTTTTTCCTTCATGGGATTACAAGTTCATGACACTGGCTTGAGCAGTTTGAGCAATAATCATAAGAAGCATGCAACAAATAAGATTCTCAGGTTGTCTATACAAATTTATCATGAAAAAAAGATTGCAAGATGTCCAAACATACAAGCAAAACTAATCCCTGAAAACATAGCATCACAACAGAATGACATAGTTGAGAATGCAGGTTGTCTGGGTGACAACATATAACCATTAATGCAGAAGACTTTAATGTAAGAGAAATAATGTCAACAGCTACTCAGAAGTCAGAAAATATGGTTATTATGATGTGGAAATTCACAGATCATGTTCTCTTTATAGAATTTCATCTTCAGTATTTGGCATAACCATAGAAGGATTTGACATAGGAAAAAAGGCATAAAAGACATTGATAACATCTGAAATCACCTTTGTGGACTTGGCAGATGGACCAACTATTTTGTTGTCTGTCTATAGATCAATGATCAAAGCAGCAGGTTCTAGAAACTTAATTTAGATGGTTAACAGCATAACCCTGCGGGGAAAACATACAGCCAAGGATGAAACAATGTGTTTATTGGATAATAAATTATCATACAATGATTGACTATGTAAATGGTGATAGCCCATAGGCGAGATGAAGTTTAAAATCCAGATGAAGCACTCATCATGGCAGCTGTTCAAATGTGCTGCAAACTGAGAAAAAACGACGAAGGAAACTGGAAAATAAACAGAAGTATTTCCCCTAAAGTGCTTCAAAATGAACTGACCAAATTGATATTGTGCTCAAAATGTTCAGAGAGCATGACCTTTTTATAGAAGCCTCGGCATAAAAAAAGTTACAGAAATAAGCATTTACATGACTTTCACAAGAAGACAAGCCATATTAGTAATCATATAGGTCAGAATTAAAGAGTACCAAATCGACCTAAAAAATGCATGAATTTTGTAGCCAGATTTTTATGTTACGTCATTGATGGCCTCAACATCATGTTCCATTACCCGTAGGTTGGTTTCAGCATTTTCCACTTCCTTGCGTAAATTCATCAGTTGTGTCATACCAATAGCTTCCTGTGTTTCCTCTAATCTTTTCTCAATTACTCTCAACTTACTACCTAAATTAGTGATATGTTTCTTAAGATTCTCCATCTCAATTGCTTGCTGTTCTCTACTCTTAGCTTCTTCAAGCTTAAGTTTAGCTTCTTTTAGTCTCCTTAGTCGCGCCTGCGGTTCCTTCAGACGTGCAATTATATGTTTGACATTGAACCCAAATCCCTCAAATTTATGAGCTTCCATCATCAAGTTTTCAATCTCCAAGGGTTCTGTCTGACATGTTGTTTGCAATGTTTTCCGCATCAAGTCTACAAGTCTGTACCACTTTGCTAGATAGACATCCTTCCTAACTTCTTCGCTGACCCTATCGTCTAGTAGGCCTCGATAGTGTGGTTTTTGGGGAATCATCACAAAGAACTGAGGATACATCCTAATCGCCTCATGTCCGTAAGGGTCTTCATTTTCTCTGACATCATTACCATTGTATTTTCCGATATTCTCTTCATTTTCAGGTTCAGGAGAACTTGGCTCCCATTCATTCAAAAGCCCACAGCGTTGGAACTCTTCCAGCTCATCAACTAGTCTCCTATCCTGCTTATCAAAATCAACATCTTCATCACTATCATCATCAATTACAACAACCTCTTCAGAAGAGACAGATAAAGTTTCTCCATTTCTGCTTGTGTCATATACTTCTGACTTTCTCTTCCTCTCTACACTCTGGTGCATCTCATCAGATAATGACTTTGACCGGGTAGTATCAATTCCCTTGACCTTAACACCTGATTTTCCCCCCTGGCTGACAGTCAAACTGAATAATTGTTTATTTTCCTCAATGAAATGTTTTGTCTTATCTGCTCGAGGTTCCACCATCAAATCGTTGTCATCTTTGTTTTCCTGCCCTTCATAGTGTCTTCTCTCATAAGACACTTCAGAACTTGTTCTGCTCACAGCAACACCATTTGCAAGATCTTTGTCTTTTGCGGTACTCTTTGTTTTACGATTCTTTACTAAATCTAGCGCTGGCTTCGCATATTCATTCAAAGCTTTTTGATATCCTACTTTGTGCTTTTTCCACCATGCCCGGTAATCTCTCCTTGGATTACCACATCTTGTTATCTTTGGTATGCTGACACATTGCCCTATTTGGCAGACATTATTTGAGATTGAAATAGCAAAAGAGACATTTGAAACTGGGATTGCTTGGTCATAACCAAACTGCCTTGCTACCCGGTGTGGCTGATACCTTTCGGAAGAAATCAAACCATCACCATAGAAGCCCTGCAATATAGATGGTGATATGATTGCCATATAATCATGCATCCAATCAGGCATGCCTTCTTCTACATGAACTATTTGTGTCTCTTGATCATTCCAAGGAGGCTCTTTCCAACTACTGAAACTTCTAGAATATGGTCTCCATGTATAAGACTTCTCATCCTGAAAAAGATGAATGGCTTCATTGTATCTAGTAGCACTTCTTCTGCTGCCCCAGCGACTGATATGAGATTCTGACACTGAAGGACCTGCACCTTGTGGCGACAGGCGCAATCTCTCAAATCGCTCCCAGACCCAAGCTTGAAGAAGGCCAAATTGCGCCCAAGTTTCAATCTTACTACCACCTCTCCTCTTCTCAAGCTTTCTGAGGACAGAAGTAGAGATCTTTGACAGATCGTGATACATGTTAGCAGTGACAAGTGGTGCCAAAGCAATTTGATCTCCACAGCTAAGCCTAGCAGCAAGTCCAAACACCACCTTTGGAACCTCACCAGCAGGGTAGGAGGGCACCACATTCTTGGCCAGCCAATATGCCAAGAACCCGAGGTGTTTAAGCTCCTCCTCGCCTTGCAATTCTAGGAACCACTGCAGCCAGATATCAAGAGTGACCTTACGAGTAGCCTTTGCCTTGGGATGAAGCTCCCGTATCTTCTCCTTCTCCACGAAGAGCCTGAGACTAAGATCCTCCTCTTCATCGGTCAATACTCTATCCAACCTAGAACCGGAAATAGGAAGCCTGCCAATGACATGAGCATCCTCGAGCGTGAACGCAGCCTCGCCCCATGGAAACATAAACGTGCGGGTCACACTACACCAGAACCCAAACAATGCTTCCATCAAAGGCCGGTCGGGCATAATGTTGGCGACCGAGCCCATGACGGCGTCTTCGATTCCAGCCTTCCGCCATGCGGCCACAATCTTCTCGTCGGAGGCCATGTCCCTCACCCAGGCCTCCCATCCGAGACCGGGGGGAGTCCAGCCACGGAAGGTGATCCTGGGCAGCACGACGGCACCCAGGCGAAGCAGATCGGTCAGCAACGGGGTCGTGGGGATGGCGTCGGACGGCGAGGCCGCGCCGGTATCGAATGGGTGCAGCAGGCACGAATCCGTCTCGACTGCGGCGGTTGGTGCCTCGAAGGAGACATTTTCACAGGCTTTTATCTTGATTCGAGCATTCCTTCTTTTCTAAGCAACATAAGAAGATCGAAAACGACGATCAAGAAGAACACCGACAACTGACTTGTAGTAGATGATGCTTAGAATAGGAAGGGATTAGCGCTTACCAGAATGGGGGTTTGGAAGGGGATTCTTGTGGTTTCTCTGCCCATCGGTGTCGGAAGCGTAAGCGATCAATGGATGCGAAGGGCGGGAGCCAAGGAAGTTGCTGCCATGCGAGATTTGCGGGCATTGGTTGGGCTGACGGCAGCCGGTGGCGAGCGACCCAGTGGCGACCGCGACGGGCAAGCAGAAACCCTAATCGCGGGTTCAAACGTTCATTGAGCGGTGACGGAAATATAAATATAAATAAGAGAAAATACATCAGCTGATACGTACGATCTGCGTATATTCATACGGTTGATGGATGCAAAGACGTGTGATTCCAAGAATGACCCGTGGGGTGATTTGGGCCGTCTATTGTGGGCCGAATCATAGCATAATTTGATATATTTAAATTAAATATCAATCAAAATCAAAAGCCACGTAATACCTAATGCTGGACTCGTCGTAGTATGACGGCAGCAGCAGCAGTAGGTGCAGCGCAACGACAACACGGCGATTTTGACTGCTTGTTGACTGGCCGATCTGACATCATTGAAATATCCTCTCCCTCTCGTCATTTTGCGGTGGACGATTTTGAACCAATAAGCGTGTAATGAACTCATCCACTCATTTCGCGCGCTGATATCGACTCTGGATCGAACACCGACGAAGCTGTTGGCGTACCAAATCCAGTACTCGGGCTCTTCAATGCAAGAATCCTCGTGTGCCCACCTACTCCCAACATTATAAATCATTTCGTCGAACAACACATGGGCAGATAGATATCAGACGTGGTCAAGACGACTCCATCGTTGGATTTCTGATGCTGAGAGCTCCAAATAAAATATAGTATGGTCACGTTAACCTGTGCATGCACCACAGGTCAAATTTGGTTGGTATGACAACATATTTGTCGGTGAATCTTTATGCCGTGATCGTGAAGTCAGCATGACTTGGTCTAATTCTCAATACGCAGAGCTACCCATGTAGACACTCGAGTGGAGAGGGCGAGTGTTGGGTCGGGTCGGGTTCGAGCCTTGTTGTCATTAGGCTTGTCTCTCTTGGCGAGCGGCTTGCGTCTCCATCACTGGGCTCCTGCAAACAGGTCGAGGTCGAGAGAGAGATTTTTCGACCTAACCCCTGTGAAGATTAAATTAGTTTTTGGTGGAATGAGAGAGAGTTGAGTGTTCGAAAAAAGTCCTCTTCGGTGCTGACCAGACGGTGGGTTTTTATACCTACACATGGGGTCGATCGTACCTAATTCATTAATAACAATCAACCACTTAAGCGACAAACCCATATCCTCCATGCAGACACTGGTCAACCTGCACGGATCGGTGTCGAGCGGTGTTGTCCCGAGCTTTTTGGGATAGTTTTGTACTTGACAGCATCGTCCCGAGCTTTGAGGGTAGCTTCGTCCCTGACGGCACCATCCCAAGCTTTACGGGACAACTTCGTACCCGACAACACCGTCTTGAGTTTCGTGAGGTAGCTTTGTATCTGACGGTGTCGTCCCGATTTTTTCAGGACAGCTTTGTACTCGATGGTGCACCTTGCACGACCTTGTACAACGCGGGAGGATGATCGTGCCGTCCGAGTTCGAGGCATAATGCCGACGTGGTCTGCCACATCGATTTCAAAGTTCCACATTGATGTTGTCTGGACCGCTGTCAAAAGAGTGTGCTATCAAATTATGCCCAATCAATATTATAGTGCTTGTAGGTAAGAAACACTTAATATTATTGGTGTTGATATGTTAGGATTTTGATCATTCATATTATTGATTTAAGAATGGAAAGAATTTTATGAGCGAACGTGCAGGAATAATCGGGCAAAGAGTTGATTTAACAGTCAGAAAGAAGACTTCAGCTTAGATTTGGAATTGTTGAACATGTTAATGACAACCACAACTAAGGCATTCTTCAGATCCATCGTTTTCTTCTGCGTTACCATCCTTTTGACTAAACCTAGAACCAAGTGTTTCTTGTCCCTCGAGTCAATCTCCCTGTTGTCTTTGAAGCATCCTGTTTCAGTCGTCAAAGACTTCCTGCGGTTTGTTCTAGCTGGACTGGGATATCTGAGAAATCTACGAGATGCGGAGATCTTTCCCTTAGTTTATTTGAGATACTGTTGGCTGGATCAGGCGAAAGTTCAAAGCCTAAACCACCTGCGGAATCTTCCAATATGGAAAGAACAACAATTTTCTGTGATCTATATTGCAGAGTTCATGGCGTTCTTCTTAGTTGAGGTCTCATTTGCATTATTAGTTTCTAGTTTAGTACATGTCAAAATCCGTGATCGTACGTACATCCATGGCGAGACGTGGGGAAGAAACAGTAGGGAAGACGAGGATGCCGAAGGGGGATGCACTTCCATAGCATGGCCACCGTCATCCTCCTCTTCTTCTGTTCCCGCACGCGGGGCCACCTCACACCTAGAGAGAGCACCTCTCCCCACCACCGCGTGAGTTGACCCACGCCATGAGATCTCCAATAGTCTACCATTAATGCCCAACTTGCTATATAGCTAACGATCCTTCCAGGCCTTCGTCCACGTCTTAGCAATCTACTCGCTGTGACGTGTGGAGATGAACTCGGCGCAAGTTGCCTGCGGCGAGATTGGGAAGAGGGCTTCCCCGCTGGTGGCTGGTGCTAAGAGCTTGCAGCGAGTTGGTAGCGGCGGAAGCGACGTCATCGACCCGGAGGTGGGTGTCGAAGCCGAGTCCCGGAAGCTGCCGCCCTCGCAGTACAAAGGCGTCGTCCCCCAGCCCAATGGCCGGTGGGGCGCGCAGATCTACGAGAAGCACCAGCGCGTCTGGCTCGGCACCTTCAACCGGGAGGCCGAGGCCGCGCGCGCCTACGACGTGGCCGTGCAGCGGTTCCGAGGCCGCGACGCCATCACCAACCTCAGGCCGCTGAACGATGCCGACAACAACGACGACGCGGCCGAGCTTTTCTTCCTTGGTTCTCATTCCAAGGCGGAGATCGTGGACATGCTCAAAAAGCACACCTACAACGAGGAGCTACAGCAGAGCAAGCGATCCTTCGGTGCCGACAAGAAGGCGGCTACTTCTCCCGGCGATACGAAGTCACCTATCGGAACCCAAAGGCAGCACCTCTTTGACAAGGCGATGACGCCCAGCGACGTCGGCAAGCTCAACCGATTAGTGATACCGAAGCATCACGCTGAGAAGCACTTCCCGGTGATGGAGGCCGGTGGCGCCGCCAGCAGGGGAGTGCTGCTAAGCTTCGAGGACTCAAGCGGGAAGGTATGGCGGTTCCGATACTCCTACTGGAACAGCAGCCAGAGCTACGTGCTGACCAAAGGTTGGAGTCGGTTCGTCAAGGAGAAGGGCCTCGGGGCCGGCGACGTGGTCACCTTCCAAAGGTCGACTGGCCCGGGGAAGCAGCTGTTCATCGACTCCAAGTCGCCCGTGCAGATCTTCAGGCTCTTCGGCGTCAACATTGTTAGGACTCCGGCTGCAGGGAGTGCCGCCTGTTGCGGAACTGGAAAGAGGACCAGAGATCGGATGGAGTTGGCATCATCACAAGAGATGGTCAAGAAGCAATGCACAGAGTCTTTGTAGTGTCGTTGCCACTTTGCTTAGGCTAATCGTCACTTCCCTCCAAATATTTCCCTTCAACTTCAAGTGTCTGTGTATATTAGACAGAGATGGAAAAGCTGAAGCCTAATGAACAGAATGATTGCATTAAAAGGTTCTTTTCCCCTCATATTGCTCTGTTCAAGGAGCTCTATTTCCCTCAGATCGTGCCAAAGAATCACCGCACAATGAATCGAATTAGGTTTGAGTGTATTGTCTTGCTGGTCTTCAGCTTTCTTCTCTCTGCTACTGGCTACTGCATAAGCTTTCAGAACACAGAAAATTGGCGAGCAAGAATTGCTTCCACCTTTGGGAAGAAAATGAAACAGCTGAAGTTGGAATCTGGAAGAGATAGTCAAAGTCTTTCCATGATCTAACATTCTCAACTGAGAATGCAGGCGGAGGAAGACCGCGAAAGAGTTGTCTGCTGCTGCTTCCGAGAGAAGGCCATCGGTCAAACTCGTGGAATCAAGTAGCCTGTTGCTTAAGGCAGAGCAAGTTTCTGCAACTCAAGTTGCAGGTCGACGGACGACTAATGGAGTTCTATGACCAGAGCAAATGGCTGCCAGTTCACTCTGCTCGACCTTAGCATTCAAAGGAAGACATCTTCCTGACGGCGATGCATGGTTGTCCTGCCATTCCTGTTGACTGCAACTTTCGGTCAACTGCGCGATAAGTCTTTGTTCTGCTCTGCTACTGTCGTCTTCTCTGGCTCTGCGATAGCTTTAGACAAGGTGCTGCATGCTTTTTTCCGACCATGTCCGCATCAAAAGCTGGGTTGACTTTGAAAAGATGTCCATCGACCACGACGACTTTTCCAGCCATTGGTAGCGGGCAGTGGCTGCAAACAGGCAATTACTTACTGAAGAAACCATGCTCCAAAGTCAAATCTCCTCTGTTAATATTGGCTTTAAGCAGCAGACTTTGACAGGGTCTCGTTCTAAAGATGCACTAAAAGAACAAAGTGCCGGTTGCTTTCTGAGCTCTCCAAGAGCTTCCCCTGCAATGCTAACCATTGCATTACAGCATGCTCAGGAATCTACTTCGTCTTGCTGTCAGATATCTGCAGCAACCTTTGATCTAATTTGCTGTGTTTGGAGCACAAACAACTGATTGCTGAGTCGAAGGGAGCCATGCAATTAGCTATGAAACATCAATGACAGAGGCCAATATTTCTGCCTTTTACTTGATTGCACCTATTGTTTCATTAACCATGTATTCGTTATTCCACCTATTGTGAATCTTCCACCCATGTTGGCCTCCTACAGCTCTGTGGTTCCTTTCTTGGACATTTCTGATCAATCAACAGAGACATGTCTGGTCTGAAAGCATAAACGAAGATCCAGTCAAAGATGTCAGTAGTACACGCAATCCCAGATCTTTTGAACTTTACTTTGCTCGATAAGTTTTCCTAGATTTCCAAATCAAGACTGTTTCTTGTGCATGGCACTTGTTGCAGACATCGATACGCTCTTTGTTATCCAGTCACATCAAGGTTGTCGCCCAAGCTTGCAGAGGCTGGCACACGGTGTCCTCCTGTTCTCGCCACCATCGTCTCTGATCTCGCTTCATGCTTCCATTTCCATTCTCCAATCCAAGCATGTCTATCACTGTGCCTTGTTCTGCTTTCTGCTGCGGGATAAAAGAGAGACAAAGCACCAGAAACTTGCTGCATTGTTCCATTCCATGTAGAATTCAGATGATCAAATCCCTCAACGCAGAATTCAGAAACTAATGACTCTTCCAAGTTCTGCAAACATACATGCAAGTCAACTGACTTCCTTTCTACCTTTGCCATTCATATCATATGAGCATTAAGATAAGTTCAAATGCAATGTATGCTGTGTGTTGGTACTGAAAGAGGCAGCCCTGCATTTCACTGTACAATCTGAGTAAGGATTAAAGCTTCACTTTGTGTCCAGTGGATTTTAGGTAGACAAAGGCTACATGATAGCTTTTGTTTTGTTTTGTGTTGTTTTCTTCTTCTTTTTCCTAAAAGAAGTACACTGCAGAGTAAAATTATGAGTGTTTTCCAAAGGATGTGCAGCTTCTTTTTCTCAGGGAGGTGAAGTCTGACATGAAATGCTATTGAAGTTGGAAGTTTTAGCCATTTGCTTAATTAACATAGGTTTAATCCTTTGCTTGGACTCATGGCAAGTCTATTAATGGTCCCATTGGGAGCAGGAAATAAACAAGACTTGACTTGTTGTCACTGTAACCAAAACTTTGATCTAGTCTGTCAAAAAGTCAAACTTGTAACTTGTGAGTGCTTATTTATATATGCCTGAATCCAGCTGGATGAGACAAGATGTAAACCTAATCCAACTAAACTCACTTTATTCATCCAAGAACAAACTTTCCACCTTGAGATTTCTGAGTGCAAACAAACATTGTCATGTTCAGGTAAAGCTTAATTGACTACCATGCACTAGGGCTGATAATAATCACACCAACTTTGGAACTTGAGCTATGGATTTTCCAAGAGTAACATTGCTGCTCAAATCTCTCCTCCACTAGATTGGTAGATAGTTGACTTCCCTAAAGAGACTAGATGATCAACACTGTGCCATAATCTTCAGTTCTGACCATATTCTGACCTGAGTAACAGTGGCAGAAAGTGCAAAGTGTTCATGATGTTATCTCACTGGCCACAGAAATCTTAATTCCTCCAAAATTAAACCACCATGAAGTGTAAATTTGATGCCTAAACATTGATGGATGGATGGAGATTGAAGACAGAGTAGTAGCTTTCCTAGACTATGATAGCACCTAAAAATTGAGATAATATTGGGATCATCAACATATTTTTAGTTTGATACATCTCCATCCAATTAAGTTAGGGGATAAGATTTGAATGGATGCTCTCAGCAAATTAGTGAACCCATGCAATCCACAAATCCCTATCAATCAGTTTAAAGATATTCCAATTGTCATCTCTGTACATACATCACAGACTACATGGTAGTTGATGGATGAAGGTATGAAAACACAGTCCCACCAACTCTCTCTTGTCAGAGAAAACCACCCTAACTTTGTTGGCCAAGGCAGTATTCCAAGTGGTGATAGATGTATCTCAATCATTGAGGAAGCCATGATTGATGCCTGTTCCTACTAATCTTGTATGGAACATGTAATCTATACTAATTAGGTCACAAGTTGCCTTATGTGTAGGCATCACTGGAGGAGAGAGAAGCATGGTGAGATCAAGCAGACTTGGTGTTTGTCTGATGGTCCACATGAATCCCACTGCACAAGAGTTGATGCATGAGGAGATTGGAGACCAATCTCCATGGCCAAGGTGGCCAGCACTGAGAAATCACATGCTTTGTCTCAGTACATGTACTGAAGAGTCTTACAGCAACTTCACTTGCAGATGACAAACACTTGCAATTGGAACTGTGTTACCCTCACTTGCAGACTTTAACACTTTTGGTGAGGAGCTTTGAAGAGGAGAGAGAGAGAGAGAGAGAGGCCTCCCATAAAAGTGGAAGTTGAAAGCTACAACAGCAGAAATTATGGATCATTGAGGCAGCTGATTAGGGTTTGGTATTGCAACAATCATATGTGACAGTCACTTGTGCTCTATATTTCTTTTATTAGAATAAAGAGAATTATTCTCAATTTGGTGGTGATATAGAAAGGAGATTGGAATACTAATATTTTGATTATAAAAATATATTTAAATTAAAATATAATTTATAATAACAAGTGGATGGTAAAAAAAAAAAAGAGAAATTAAAATACTAATGGCAAAATAAAAATTAAAGAAGCTCAAAAATTAAAATACCAGCCTTCCTCTCACTGTGTCATCAACCCCATGCAGAATTACCAAACCAAAGAACAAAGGAAAAGCTCCCTCCCTCCTTTCCCCCAACCACATGTCACCTTCTCATTCTCTTTCTTTCTATTTATTTATTTGCCTTTCTCTTCCTTATTCTTCCACTCCATTCCAACCTAATATTCTACTCTTCCTTCTCCCAACTCTTCTCCCCAATCGAATAGTATTGTGGTGCGGCCTCCCATGGCGTCCGCTGACGCCGTTTCGCCGTCGTCAGCCCGCCGCAGCCTCAGGCACCTCCTCTTTAATCCCCCCCTCCCCCTCCTCCCCCAGGCCCCACCGCGCCGCCGACTGGAACCCACTGATCGCACCTCCCCCCCCTCAACCGCCGCGCAAGAAGAAGGGGCTCGCAGCGGCGGCGTTCCGCGGGCTCGGGTGCGCGTCCGCTTCCGCGTCGCAGGCGTACGCGCCCGCCGCTGCCGCCGCGGTGAGGTCGTCGGCGGATTGGCAGGGCAAGCGGCCGCGGCGGAGGAGGGAGAAGAAGAAGGCCGAGAGGAAGAACCAGGCCATCGGGGACGTCTGGTGCGCCCCCGGGATGCCGTTCGCCGCCGAGGCGTCGGTGGACTGCGTCGTGGCGCACCAGCCAATGGTCTCGAGAGGAAGGCCGGATGCTGCCGAGCGGATCCACAGGGAGGTCGTATATCTTGGATTCTTGTTCTCCCCATCGTCTCTGTCTTATCCTGTGGTCTTTCCTTCCTCTCGATTTTTTGTGTTCCATGTACAGTCATGATGGGTGATCCGTTGATTTCTGTTCTGTCTCCCGAAGTTGAAATCTTGGATGCAATTGTCTTATCGTTGGCTAATTGTTCATAAATATTTTTCTTTTCTTGTTTGTGAAAGTTCGTTCATGGATTCAGGTAAACAAATTCCTTCATTTCCTCTTTCTGTAATCTTTCTACACAATCTTTTCTCCCTTTTGACGGGTAAAAATGAGTTTTTTTCATTGATTTTAAGTTTTTTTTTAGTTGATGATATGTTATTAACAATGATTTGGTTCCCTTATATGTTTGGTCTCTGATCTAACATCTTATATCGTTGCTGATTGCAGCGACCTTACTTCCCTAGAAGGGTTGGCCACAGAGAAGAGATCTCAACCTTCATGGATTCTCCCCCAGTTCTCGATACGCCATTTTTTGGACCTGATCTCTTTCCATCAGGACACCTTCGCCACTTGCGAGGATTTCACCGTGCTCCTGGTGGGCTCGAGGAGGTAATCCTCCCCCATTTGTAGCGAATTTATCTGTGTTTCATCTATAAGCCTTTGTTTGCTAGTATCATTAGGTTCACTTTGAAGGAAACTACTCATACTGGTGATATAATAATAATTGGTTCCCACATGATGCCTTAGCTTGTACCAAGTTCAAAAGTTTTGACCATTCCAATTTCTTAAACAGAGTATCAGAACGAGTGATGTCATACCATCAAACAATTTTCTATTTAGGTTTGACATGAAAAAAAAGTTTGTTGTATACATTGTTTGGTTTTAGAATCTTAGGTCGACAAATAGAAATTAATTGGTTGTGGGTAAGGTAAGAGTATTTGATATTAGAAAATATGAAACATACTTGAGATCTAAAGAAGCTATTTACTTTTACAACTCTTTCATTTCCTCACGAAGTTTTAGCTTCGAGTTAGAAAATCCACTAGTTTTGCAACTTTTCTCATATATTAGCATGAATATTTTCAGCTAGTTTAATTATTTTTTAAACTTGTTCACGAGTTTTTAAAATTCTTTAACCTATTCGGACAAAATTGTCAAAACTAAATTCAAGGTTGTCAAAACTGCCAAAATTGCTTAAATCGATCTTGAATGGTTAGGCTGCAACTAAAACTGAAATCGGTGCTTCAAACCTTGCATCTATTCCATACTCTTATTTAATTGTTTCTTTTCTTTTGTGTAACATCTGTATCTCTTTTTTATTTTCATCCAATATGTCTAACAATTCACATGATTCCTAGTTAATTTTTGACATGACTATTTCAGTTCTTTTGCTTGGGCTTCTTTATATCTTAGGAAAATGAAAATCCAGGTCTGCTTTCATGTCTAGAAATACATTCTATTTGTTCAACCATGCGATGATATTTACTGAAATTTCAAGTGAGCTTTTGCTTTAGTTTCTTACTTATTATTAGAAGAATGCATAAGAAGATGATCATAGTAACTGTTACTACAAGCACCGAGCGCAGAGAATTTGGAGGATACACAAATGGTGATAACAGAAATTATTTAACATGTTTGAGAGCTTTAGGTCAGGGATCATCTAATTGAAACTAAAGACTAAAAAAGAGTTTTCTTATCTATAGGAGTTACCATGATATACTTGAATGGTTACTCTAAACAGTTATTTAAATAGTGGATTACCATGCTGCGAGTGTGTTGACGGGAAACGTAATGCTTGACACGATGGGGAAAACTAAAATAAGAGGTTTTACTTGCTATGGTATTAATAATTGAGGCAGCGTGAAGAATTATTATCTGCTTATAGAAGATCTTTCACTCAATGATGCACATTTGGAGATTGATTATAAACTTATAAAGATATCTCACTCAGATTTGCCTTAAAATTGCAGCTCATGATGTTCCAGACAAGAATTTTGTTGGGTGGAGGACTGGATGTATACGACCGATTCCGTGAATGGCGACTTGATGTTGATAATATGTCATATGAGGTGTTTAATTTTCTCTCACACAGCACTCCTTCAACCTTCTACTTTGTAGTATTATGTTCTGCATTGGCAAGGCAATGATCCTACCACATCCTCCCTTTACAGGAACTGCTTGAGCTGGGTGACAAAATTGGGTCCGTGAGCACTGGACTGAGAGAGGAAGAGATTGCACGTAGTCTCAGGAAAATAAAGCATTCAGTTTTTGATGCCTCAGCAAGGCATCTCGCGACCGAAATCGAACGGAAATGTAGTATCTGCCAAGTAGGTCCCCTTCGATTTCTTGTCCATCTGATACAGATGTTGAGAGTGACTTCATCTTTTATGATGCAGGAAGAATATGAAGCCAACGATGAAACCGGAAGGCTGGAGTGCGGCCACGGCTACCATATGTACTGCATAAAGCAGTGGCTCTTGCTAAAGAATGCCTGCCCTGTTTGCAAGGCACCTGTTCTCAAGACTTAGTAGTGTCTTCACTGTCCTCTCTCTTTCTTGTATAGCTCTCAGTCTTATGATGAACAATACATTCATTCATTTTGGTTGTTGGTTATATCTTTCACTAGAATTGTGGCATCTCCATGGCCTTACATGATCATGATTCATATGAACTTCATATGCATCCCAGCTTCAGTTGGTGCTAAGTAATGATTCAAATTCAGTTTACCGATTTGGTCTTATTTATTGAGATATACTTCGTCTAGTCTTTTCTCACTTCCGATATAAGCGTAAACGAAGGTATTTGATTATATAATCGACTCAGTCTTCTCTCGTTTTCTATCGAGATTGATGAAACTTAAAACTTTTATATATATATATATATATATATATATATATATATATATATATATATATTTTCTTGACACAATGAACTCGAATCGAATCTCCCAAAGTCAATTCCAATCCGATTCAAAATCAATTGAACCGTTTGACTACGACGAATCCGAAACATGTCGTTCTTACAGATGAACCAATCACGCCGTCTTCCCGTTCTTTGATTGAGGGTGTCACATCGCCGCCTTTTGATGTCAAAATGCAGGATATCTAATCGACGAATCCGGCGCTGAATCGATCCATTAATGCGAAAAATGCAGCATGCAGCATTGACGATTCTAATAGGCTTTTAATGTCAGCTCGTCACCAACTCTGACTTGACACTAAATAGAGGAGTAAATACTGATTGCACGACATACCAACACTTGCGTACACTGATGCAGCCGAACATAACTCCAACAGCTAATTTGATACCCGACCTATTAAAGAGAAGCTGCACAGACACACCTAATCTTAGACAAACAATGAAGCCTCTCGACATGGGAAATGTAGGAGATGAGATCGAAAAGATCTCAATTACTCGATTAGAATAATAAAGATCAGATGAGATTCATCTTTTTAACGCTCAAATTAATAATAAAATAGAATAGAATGAAGATTTATTGATTGTTTATTATGATTTGATTCAACTCGAAGAAATATTATATGATATGAGCGAAATCTTTTATTTTATGTTAGATGGACGTCTATATAACTCAATCATTGATCAAGATCGTATGTGATGTAAAGAAATGCTTCGTATATGATGAGAGATTCGAATAGAAAAATATTATACCCTCAACGACCAACGAATACATCGTTAACGGATTATGCCTAATATTATTAGAGTTTGATTCTTATCTCATCCCGTCGAGTTGTGACTTACTTCAACGATGAGATTTAGTAGAAATCAGTTGAGCATGAGTTTGTATGGCTTAGTAGACACCAAAATGCACAACAGCATTACAACTGAGCTTTGTTAAACTTTGTATAAGCTGACCAATGCACCAAATACAAGAAATAACAATCATCTAATATTCTAGTGTTCCAAATACAAGAACACAACAATCATCTAGGATTCTGCCCCATCTCATACCACTTTCCCACACTGGCCTCACAAAGAACATGGTGCTGGAATCCAGACAAGAAAACCAGGAAAACTTGCAACCCTTGAGACAAATGAGCAGTCTCCAACATTTTGTTGCTGGTCCAAACATGGCCTCTGATGGTGAGCCCCAAGAGGAAACATCATGCTCTATCAAGGTCTCATGGGGTATCCTGCAAGCCTGGTTGATTGGTGTCCTTTAGCCATAAAATGAATGGAGTTCCAGTCATCATGACATTAGATGGGACATGAGGCTAAGATAAAGATTCTCAAGACAGCCTCACCCTATGCCTAAAAAGTTCAGTGGTGAACAGAAAGGCAGGCCAATGAGTCAGACCATACAATCGAGCAAAGAGTTTATCATGAGATCACAAACATTTTCTTCCACTGGACCATATTTCTCCTATGTTGATAAGTAACACAATCTCAGTACAACACCAATACAAACAAACTGCTGCAAGCTCCAAAGAGAAGATGCAGTGATAATAGCTTCGAGCATCGCCCAACAAATCAAGGCACAAGCTCTGGATTTATCAACACAGTGCATGATAATCTAAGCAAAGATGTCTTTTTTGGAGCAACCAACAACAAAGATTGGTAGGCTTCGCTTATGTTGGAATGCCGTGATAGTTCGACGGGTTGGCGATTCGAACAAAGACAATGTTGCAGAATGAACTCTTACAATACAATGATTGACAGTGCAATAATAATTATATATGAGCTGCAATCTTTGCGGTTGTAGTGAGCATCTCTAGTTCTTGTTGATCAATCTTTGGATAGTATCGGTGGCATGCCTCATTGATGGTCTCTTTTCAGGATCAGCTTGAACACAAGCCAGGGCAATTTTCAGCACTGTGATAATTTCATCTTCTCTATCCAATTCCTGAGCTAGAAAAGGGTCCAACACATCCAAGAGGGGTTTTTTCTCTTCGATACAAAACTGAATCCAGCAGACCAAGTCCATTTCCATGGTCTCCAAAAGAACTAGTGGAGACCTGCCAGAGATCAGTTCTAATAGAATCACTCCATATGCATAAACGTCCCATTTTTGAGATGGTTTCAGGGTCTTCAATGCCTCAGGAGCCTGATAGCATGATCCCCTACTTATGACGGGACCGAATGCAACATCTGATTGTTGGCTCTGAGTTTTCTCATCGGCTATTCTGTCCGACTGCAAAAATGGAGATCCTCCGGCAATGTTTGCCAGACGTCCGACCCCAAAATCAGATATGTAGGGTTCCATATCCAGTCCGAGTAGCACATTATTAGGCTTGAGATCGCCATGAACATACTTCTTCGGACTGAATTCATGCAAGAAAGCCAAGCCCTTTGCTATTCCTTTCATGATCTTTAAGCGTACTTCCCATGACAGTGGTGCCGAATTCCTTGTTCCAGCTCTCCCTGAAATTAGTCATGGTATCAAGAAATATAATACAAAGGATAATGAGAGTTTGCATGCAAAATTTGAACGGTAAAAGTTGCATGTTAGAGAAGCAAATTAATTTAGCATGCCAAGGTGCTAATAATATGGTTGTTCAAATACTCCAATCGATTCCTTAATACTGATACAACAGAGCATTGTATCTCCAACAAAAGAAAAGACTTGTACGTGTTAAACCATAATTCTTAAGATATCAATGAGTGCCAAATATCAGTGTATCCAATCCTTAGAAATGATCTGTATTTATTAGTGATTCTAGCTGAAAATTTTGTTAAATGTTGCATGTTAGAGAAGCAAATTAATTTAGCATGCCAAGGTGCTAATAATATGGTTGTTCAAATACTCCAATCGATTCCTTAATACTGATACAACAGAGCATTGTATCTCCAACAAAAGAAAAGACTTGTACGTGTTAAACCATAATTCTTAAGATATCAATGAGTGCCAAATATCAGTGTATCCAATCCTTAGAAATGATCTGTATTTATCAGTGATTCTAGCCGAAAATTTTACTAAATGTTGAAAACTAAGAACACCATGTACGCTTACTGAGGACCATCTTCGCATGCCTCTGCATATGCAAAACTCGTCAAATCTGAAACGATGAAGGCAGTCAGAAATCATACCATGAATAGCATCAGAGAGGCTGCCATTAGGAATATAATCATAGATAAGCAGCTTCTCATCGATCGACCAGTAATAAGCTCTCAGGGTAACAATATTAGGATGTCGAACCTTTCCAATTGCTTCCACCTCGGTTTGGAACTCTTTGAACCTTTGTGATCCTCCTTCCCCCAGCCTCCTCACAGCCAAAGTTGGTCCGTCATCCAGCACAACCTTGTAGACGATACCGATCCCGCTCTTCCCCAAGACGAACGCGGACGCCTTCAAAAGTCCATCAAGATCAAAGGTCACATGCCTATCCAATGGCACTAGCTCATACTGCTCGATGTTATCCGATAAGGTCTCTGATTCCTCCTTCCTAAAGCACATACATTCTTTCCTGCCCTTCAACCTTGTGTCAGAATTCCCTCCATCTTCTTTGAAGCTGAGTGAAGCAGTTGCCTTGCAGTAAAAGTAAAAGAACACCAATGCAATAAGAACAATTCCGACCACATCACCCACCACAATCGCAATAATTGCAGCTTTACTCACACCTTTGCTGCTGTTTCCATTATAAGTGCCATTTCCCTCAGGTGCCGGAGGCGAATAATTGTTGGGGAGGAAGGGATTCGACGGCGGCGCTCCGGAAGGACACAGGTTCTTCAACGGCGGGCCACAAAGGTCCGGATTTCCGATGAAAGCCGTCGGTCCTCTGTTCTCCAGAGCCCCATTTTGGGGTATCGGCCCGCTGAGATTGTTATAGGTGAGATCGATGTAGACCTTCTCCGGCAGATTTCCAAGGCTCGGCGGGATCGAGCCAGAGAACCGGTTGTGGGACAAATCCAGGGTTCCTTGAAGCCTAGTTAGATTACCGACGTCACTCGGAATCGGACCATCGAATCCATTGTAAGAAAGATCGAGCTTCCCCAACCCAGCAAGGCTACTACCGAAACCAAGGGGCAAAGGACCGGTGAAGTTGTTGTGGCTCAGGACGAGGGCCTTCAACCGCTTGCACTGGATCAAAGAGGTCGGCAACGAGCCGGCGAACAGGTTGCCGGAAAGGTCCAAGTTCTGAAGGTACAGAAGCTGGCCGATCTCCGGCGGGAGCGACCCGGACAAGAAATTCCCGTAAAGGACCAAACTTTGTAGCGCACGGGCGGCGAAGAGGCCGGCGGAGAGGTTGCCGAAGAGCCTGTTGTTCCGAAGGTTGACGTGCCTCAGAGATCGGAGGGAGCCGAGAGCAGAGGGGAGGTAGCCTACCAGCTTCTTCTTCGGCAGGCTTAGAGCGACCACCGAGACACCCCTGCAGGTGATCCCGTTCCAGGAGCAGGGGTCCTGGTCGGAAGAGTTCCAGCTTGCAAGGGAGCCACTGGGGTCCTCCCTGATGCCAGCCTTGAAGGAGAGGAGTGCGGCGCCTTCGCCGTTCAGGCCATTAACAACGAGGAGAAGAGAGGCGGCGCACAGAAGGCAGAGAAGCGACAGAGGAGATGGTGATGATGACGACAAGGCCATGAGTGGATGACACTGACTCGACCGTTGGAAGCAAAACCACAGAGATATAAAGACTTACAATAACTGAAGAGAGAACTGCAGTGATGAAGTGAGGCTCTTTATTTGGGAAAGAGAGAGAGAGAGAGAGAGAGAGATGGAAGTCTCTACAAATATCATCAGAGGAAGGAAAAGAAG